CGCTAAAAAACCTCCAAAGCACAGAAAAATAAGACTTATTCCTCACTGGAATCGGGGAAACAAAATGATGCCGGTTGGTGAAAGCCTTCGGGAAGACGATTGGCCGATGTGTCTTCCCTCTCTCGATGTAAGCGAAAGTAAGCATAGGGACATGGAATGTCCACACCACGTTTCAACCTAGCAAGGCTGTTCAGATTGCAAAAGAGATGAGAAGGTATCGAATTGAAGTGCTAGGAATCCACGAAAGCAGATAGAATGGAAGTGAACTCTATTAACTGTCAACTGGATAGTCAATAATCTACTCCGATATTGCCACCCAGACGACAAACACAAGCGCACAGAGTTCTTAAGTGGCTATCATGACGTCCCCAAGAAGCATCGAAGGCTCTCTCTCATGCAGTGGGAACCAATCTCCTCTAGGATCATAACAGCAAGATTCAACTCAAAAGGAAAGAAAGTCACAATCATACAATGCTACTCTATGCACCTACAAATAATGCAGATCAAGAGGAGGAAATCCATAGACAACTGCAATCAGTACTGGACAAGAGCCCACCTCAGTTGGTGACATCAAAATGCATTCTATTGGGCGACATGAATGCCAAGCTAGGAGCGGAAAACACAGGAAGAGAACTCATCATGGGTCGAGAAGCACTCGGTGAAATGAACGAGAACGGTGAACTGTTTGTAGACTTCTGAGCATTCAAAGATTTGGTGATTGGAGGCAGTGTGTACAAACACAAGGATATTCACAAAGCGATATGGATTTCACCAGACACACTAAAAATCAGTTCAACTTCATCTCAACCTGAAGAAAGTTTAGACGCAGCCTACTGAATACAAGATCAGATCAAGAAGGTGAGCAGATTCAGGTTTCGAGCACTCACTATCTAGTGCAGGGAACCTACCTTCAAAATCAAGTTGAACACACAGAACAGAAACTGAGGGACGAAACTACAGAAGACATCTTCGCGTCAGCTATCAGGAAAAATGGTGGACATTAGGCAACATCCCCGAGGAAACCTGAGAGGAAGAACACTGGAACTCTGTGCTGTGGAAGCGACGTGGAAGGAAACCTGCATAACCATGTTAAGAAGAAGCGGCAAGACAAAGAATGGATCCCGACAGATAAATGGAAACTTATAGAGGAGAGGAAGACGGTGAAGCAGAGGATAAACCAGTGCAAGGATGAACAACGAAAAGAGGAGCCGAACACAACCTGTAAAACTCTACACTGGACAAAAAAGTGGAGAGGAGGGCACGCAGAGACAAAACACACTTCTACGACACACTTGCAAGTAAAACAGAACAGGCTGCAGGTAGGAGAGACCTGACATATATCAAATAACCAGGCTACCATCTGCAAGAGATCAACTCAGATGAAACGAATGAAAGATAGCGAAGGAAACCGAGTCAGCAAAGGAAACGATGGGCTGACCACTTCAAAAACTCTTGAATCGACCACCACCATAACCTGCAACTCGTCCAGAAATACCACCAGCAGCCCAGTCACAGAAATATCAGTGGACACAAGCCCTCCGACAAAAGCAGAAGTCCTGAATGGCTGTAAAGTCACTGAAATTCGGGAAAGCAGCAGGAACAGATGGAATTTCACCAGAAGCACTAAAAACAGATGCAGAGACAACAGGGACACGCTCACACCACTATTGCAGAAGTTTACAAGGAGGGAAGGAAAGGTACCTGCAGGTTGATTGGGAAAAGGGCTACCATGTCAAACTCCCGAACAAGGGAGACCAAAGTCTGTCCATCTCAAGTATATATATGGTCGAATCATCCTGGAGAGACTGAATGATGCCCTGGATACAAAATGACCACAGGAATGGCTGGCTGACTGGCTTCGGGAAGAACAAATCATGTGTGGGTCAAATTACAACCCCACGCTAAGCATCATCTTACAACAAAGCATAAAATGGCAGTCAACTCTCTTTACCTCAACTTCATCAATTTCGAAAATGCCTTCGACACCATCGACCGAGAAGTAGTTGACAGGCAGGCAGCTGCTTCAACACTACGACTCAGTGCTACAAGCCGTTATTAATGTCATTCAACAGCAGTTATATGCTATATGATGCTACATGCCAAGTGATTCACAATGGAAAGCTCGAAGACGCCTTTGAAGTGAAGATAGGAGTAAGACAAGGTTGCCACCCACTATCACCAATGATATTCCTGGTTGTGATCGACTGGACTGGATTATGCAGCAAACTGTGAGGAGTGAGAAGATGGGCATAGGCTGGCTGGACTGATGGAAAGAGCCCAGAGAAGATTTGGATTTCGCTGATGATAATTTACGTCTAATGTCTTGTTGAACAAACTCGAAGATCTACAGGTGAAGACTAACAAGTTGAGAGGAGAGGCAAGACAGCGAAGACGGGACTTGCTTCCGGTGAAGGTAGAGAAGACAGAGGTAGAGGTGATGAAGATACCCAACCAACACTACCACAAACAACAACAAACACTATTCACCATCAACGGGCGAAACCTAAAGGAAGTAGTTTCTTTCATCTGCCTACCCAGGCAGTATCGTTTCAACTACAGGTGGTGGCGGCACAGATGAGGATGTCAAAGCCAGGATTGGAAAGATAGCAACACAGGCCTTCATTAATCTGAAATAATCAGTGTAGACATCCACACTGCACTGCACACAGCATAAAGCGTGAACAACATCTGGATTTTCAACACCAACCTCAGTCAAGTCAGTGCTTCTATGTGATGGTTGAGAGACTTGGCGCGTCACGGAAAGCATTCCCAACAAACTACTGACATTCATCAACAGCTGCCTACGCTGACTCGATCCTGAAGATCAGATGGCCAGGATAATAAGAATAAGCAACAAGGATCTCTGGCTGACGACCAACCAACCAACCAACTAAGAACCCATCGCCCAACAAATATGCAGTGGGAGAAAGTGGAGATGGATTGGATTGTGGATACAGTGAGAAAACCATGTGGGGAGATGACGCGTCAGGCCAGGCCGTCGGGTGGAACCGAAATGGGAATGGACTAGTTGAGTGTCCGGGGTTGACGTGGAGGAAGAAATGAAAGCTTGTGTGCAGTCGTGCAGCCAAGTTCAAAAGACTGCAGAGAAAGGTAGTGAAATTGCGACGTATGTTCCACTAGGAACCCAAGGGACAAATAATAATAAGCAATCAATAAAATCCCTCTTAGGTTTACAAAAGTGAGAAACCAAGTGTTTGTGTGCATAGAGTACTTATACTGAGGATAGTTCAGTTTTGAATTTCAAATACTTTTCTAATATTCACTTGATGTTCAGTGTTAACTAAGTGTACAAGTGTACGGCTTTTTATTGTTCTAATCTGTCTTGTATTCAACCATGATGAGTAGTGCTCAGAAATTCAACGATAGACCTGCCTCACTATATGCCCAATTTAGCTAGCTCCAGAAAAGCAGGTGGTGATAAATACACATTGAAGTGGCAGAATCAGGCATTCTTCTTTATTTCTTGCACCTAGAATTGTGAGGTTGTAGAAGATGGGATATAATTTAGCGGCTGCGAATGCTCTTTATATGCGTTGTGTGATTACCTCACTAACAATGCCACTCTTGAATTCCAATTTCAAGAAGATTTACTTCTTAGGAACTGTTACCATTCTTGTCTTAACCTTTCTGTTTATTCATAGGCTTAGTTACAAAGTTTGTTGGATAGCTATTCCTACTAAGCAGGTCACAGATAATGGCAAACTCTTCCTCTCTCGATAACATCATCAGAGCAAATAGCTGTGGCCAGTATACTAGATATTTTACCAGGTTCCTCTTGTATTGGAGCAGTACGGCACCATCCATCACCTTTGAATAAAAGGGATAGATTAGAACAATAAAAAGCTCCACACTTGCAGACTTAGTTGACATTGGACACCAAGTGGATACTAGGAAAGCATTTAAACTTATTCATTACATATCAACTAATTCTGAATTTATTCCCGCTGTTGTGAAATTTCTTTCTGAGATAATGTATCATAAATACATTCACATAACAAAAAGATTTAACAAGGAATAAGGAACACGAGAGTTTAATCTAACCATCAAGAACAATGTCACACAAACTTGAAGATCTACAGGCAAAAACTAACAAGTTGACAGAAGAGGCGAGGCAGCGAAGACGGGACTTCAAGTGAACGTAGAGAAGACAGAGGTGATGAAGATACCCAACCAACACTACCACAAACAACAACAAGCTCCAATCACCACCAACGGGAGAAACTTAAAGGAAGTAGCCTCCTTCCCCTATCTAGGCAGGGCAACATCGTTTCAACTACAGGTGGCGGCACAGACGAGGACGTCAAAGCAGCCAGGATCAAAAATACAGCAAGACAGGCGTTCATTTACCTGAAACCAGTGTGGAGATCTACTCCACTGCACTCAGCATAAAGCGTGAACAATATCCGGATTTTCAACACCAACCTCAGTCAAGTCAGTGCTTCTATGTTGTGGTTCAGAGACTTGGCGCGTTACGAAAGAGACTTCCAACAAACTACAGATAGTCACTAACAACTGCCTACGCTGGCTCGTTACTGAAGATCAGATGGCCAGAATAATAAGAATAAGCACGAAGGAACTGTGGCTGGCAACGAACCAACCTAGAACCGATCGCTCAACAAGTATGCAGAAGGAAATGGAGATTGACTGGGCATACACTGGGAAGACTGACTGGGGACATCACGCGCCAGGCCACGCTCTCGAGTGGAACCCAGATGAGAAACGGCGAGTTGGGCGTCCGGGGGTGACATGGATGAGACCGTGTGAAGAAGAAATGAGAGCTTCTGGGTTGTTGTGGAGCCAGGTTCAAAAGTTTGCAGAGAAGAGAGTGTAATGGAGACGTGCTACTGAAGCCCTACGTCCCACTAGGAACCCAAGCGACAAATAATAATAATGATAATCAAGAACAAAAAGGCGTAAATGCAACCTGAGTAATATGTACACAATCATAACAACGTAAACTGTCCATGTTCTATACTGTTTCAAGTTATAGCAATGACATTTAAAATAGACTTCCAAAATTTGGCTGTAGAATTTGTCTTCTTACTCAATCGAGTGACTTGTGATAACAGCAAAGGATTCAAGTGATCAACATAGATTATTTGTTGAGAAAGATTAATTAATAAGTTCTTCAGTGAAATAGTTTGGTTTCTGTCTTCAATGTTTTCCTCATGTTGCCACCTTTCTTCATAGATCTACAAAGTAATACAATATATATAACACCTTGAAATCAATAAAGCCTGAAAAACCTCTAAACTGAATTATACTATCATGTGTTTATTATGGGTAATGAGATTTTTCAAAGTTCTAATAAGAAGGTGTGACCGCGGTTAGGGCGAAGGAAATCAGACGTAAGGATAAATACTCGCTGAAAGGCATTAGATGATAGTAGCTCTGAACATTTGAATACGCTTCATTTAAATGAACTGAAAATAAATAATCATAAAACCCAATGAACATGTATCTTAATTGAGATTTACTTTCGGTGCAAATGACTGAATGAATGAATGAGGCAATTACAGTTGATTCTCTATCTTAGATTTAGATTGAAGATATATGAGATCGAATATGAGACAGGAAAACAGAAGGATTCCAATGGAACAGTTCTATTTTTCTTTCTTGAGATGTATGCTGAATTCTATTGTACGACTGAGATATGGTCGTTGAAAGCAGACAATACTAAGACGTTACGTATTTTTGGCTATAGGATTCTTCCTACCATTGCTTGTGTGTAGTGGAATTGCTGAAATGGCAAGCCTTCACCGAAAGTGGTCATGAGTGTCAAGCCACAACCTAATTCCATGCACTATGCGAACAGAAGTAGAATTGTATTAAAAGAGAGCTGTATAGTCGAACTAAAAAGTGGTATCAGTTTAGAAAATTTTCGACTGTTGGTCTGAGCTGTGGAAGGAGATGGAAACTGTTTGGCTGAGATGCTCAATCAGCGGTTGAACGGAGAGATAGACTCTTGATGATACGGTTGAAAATCAGTAACAGTATTAGAGAGGCATTCAGTTTTTTATCATTTTAGAACTCTTGAGTATTATCACTAACCCTTATCAATTTGTTCTCTTTTTACTCAACATTTTTATCTACTTCATTGAGATTCTTTTTCTATTCACTTCTCGGTATGTCACTGTAAAGTGTCACAACTCCAACTGATGTCCTTCTGTAACAATTTATATGTTGATTTGCCTACCGATCTTGTCATTGTTTGACCTGGCATATGAAGACAGAAAAGATCTCAACGATCAGATATTCATACCAATAGATCACACTACACATCCATACATACCATCGACAATAGCGGTTAAAAGAAAAATCTGGTTCTTTGAGTGAATGTCTCGAAATGAAAGAAGAGCCTAGAAAGGATGATAGAGAAATGATGACACTTTGAAGAAACTCCTTTAATCACATGATAGCGTACAATGAACTACAGAAGAAACTTAGGATAAATGGGTGGTTTCTTCTTCGGGTATAGCACTATGCTTTAACACCAGGAGGCACGCTTCTCCACTTCACACAAGTTGGTATTCATCTAGCTGAATGCCCTCAGCAACTCTTCGGTTGCCCAACATCAACTCTGAACCTGAATCTCACGTAGACGTTTGTCCTCCAACTGTCCTCGAAGTTGAGAAAGCTGTACCGAAGCTGAAACGATGCAAAGCAGCAAGATCTGACAGTTTGCCACCTGAAGTTTTCGAGGATGGAGGTAGAAAATCGCTAATTAAAGTGACGGAGGTACTATGTAATACCGTCAAAGTGGTGTACTTCTGTGACTATCGCAATCTGTAAGAAGGGAAAGAAATCTTCTTGAGATAATCATAGGGGGAATTAGTTTGACCAATACTGTGTGCAAGATCCTAGGGTCCATAGTTCTCTGACACCTAACTAGAGCTGAATAACAACAAACTTGAGAAAACCAGTCAAATTTCAGGTTGTAAAACTAAGGCATACCTACCAGTCATTGGCCGACACTTGCCATATTTCTTTTTCTGAAGGCGGCATTTGACTTTGTCGACAGTGAAGTGTTATGGCAGCGTCCAACCAGGAAAGGAACACCGAAAAGTATATAACGCTAATCAAAGCTCTCTACTCAAAATCACGCACAAGTGTCAGAGCTTATGGAGAGTTATCATCAGAACTGATGAAAGCTAGCGGTGTCCTCCAGGGATGATTGCTATCACTGTTCTTATTTAACTTCGTTATAAACGTGCTAATGGACATAACCTTAGGTACGTTTGGATTCACAAGTGTTCACCTACTACCTGGAGGTAATCTAGTTGACTTAGCATGTGCAGACGATATTGTCCACAACTTACACAAGGAGGTGATAGCTGAAAGTTTTGCTTTCGAAGACTTCACTTATCAAAGCTGTACAACCATATTTAAATGCGCTAATAACAGACAAAAGTTAATTGTTAACCAATATGGTCATGTGATTTCCACAATGTTTAAGAGGGTCAGTACAAAACTCTAAATGAAGCCTTCAGTAAATAGGTGCATGATCACAACATAGCATTCGAATGCTCGAAGAAGTGACCAAAACATGCGAAACCTTTTACCACTCGAGGTGGAAGAAAGCCCATAAACGTAAGCAAATAGGAATGAGATAACACTGATATTCAGCTACATAATTAACATGATGATGTATAGGTACATCTGCATCATTGAGATCTATTCTCAGCCATATCACCTAGTCTTGAATTACCGGTTCTTGTTGTAGAGCAGACCACTACCAAGAATTCCACATTTCCCTACACGGCTCACAACAACAACCAGTCTTCTTGCGATGATACTGTTTTTTAGTCTGGCCACCTCTAACCACTTTCCATACTCAACCTACTTCAGCTAACATTCTCCAACCAGATAGACGATGACTATACAGGATGTGCAACACACCTCCCAGCCATCTCAATCCACAAAGGTCCACAACATCATCAATCACTTAACTCTCCTACCTATAATCTCTACGTCTCACTCCTATGCTAACGACGTGGTTGCACCAGGCCACATAGCATACTCTTTGCAGGTAAATGTGGTCGTACGCCTGAAGGATACTGATATCCATCCACCTTTTTAAGCCATTTTTCACAGTCATGTAGTAGAACACAGTGAACTTCAGAATGATATGCTCGACAATAAGCCCTAGGAAGTCTATCACATTGGCACCATAAATGGCTTAAGTTGGTCAACGACAATCGAGCCTTAGTATCCAAACAGTTTTCATAGGTCACTAGCCCATCAGGTGTGATCCGGATTTTCAGATAAGTGAAGTGGTTAACCACCTCAACCATTTCACTCGTTGTTATACAAAGCACCAGGTAAGACTAGTACTGCGGTAACAATTTGCATTTGAGTGACCAGGAACGCATCCCAAACATTCTCAAATCGCCAATCAAGGTATCCAGAAGACTTTGTATCTTGCGAGCGTCTTCATCTAACACGACTGTCATCTGTGCATTGCATTGCATGTCTGCTAAAGTCTCTTGTGACTAGGCCAATCACTGTAAATTCAGATCACGAGAGGAAGACCTTCAAATTAACGCCTATGACAAAATCAAGTAAGAATAGAGAGGGAACATCGCTGCTGGACATCACTCAACGTGCATGATTCATCTGATAGCCCAACATACGGTCTAACATACTCAAGGGGGTTTGAGCCCTAAATAGTGAGGTACTGCCGTAAGACCCCCTCGATCGACGGAGTCAAACATCAATTTCAAGTCAAGAAGTAACTAACGTGAGCCGTGAAAAGTGTACCTGTGTTTTAGAACCCGTCGAAGGGTGAACATCTGGTGAATACATCCATGACCGTCTGAATCCTGTTTTTTTCTCCGGTTTGCTGTCCCCAAGTTCCACTTAGACATTTGATACCTATAAAATCTAGAATCTTAGACACTGCGTTCGTCATACTGATTCCCCTGAGGTTATTACACGAGGACTTAGAAATAACTTCAGGGAAACCAAGACATTTCGCAACTCGTTTGAATCTAAACTTATGTTGACTATACGATGAAGTAGTTGGATGCAATAACTGCTGTATTTAACTCGATAGTTTTATTGATGGTGCTGGAAACGAATGCATGTGGTTCACACAATATACTCTGATTTACATTTGTAAATTGACCGACATATCTTTTTATCACATTAATGGAATCAGTAGACAGTAAAAGTGATGACTTTTATTCGGTTGTACAATCCCATCTAAATCCATATAGGACCAGGCATTACTGCGTACCGATTCAGAGTTGCCACACCTCAGATCAGTACATCAAGTAAAAAGGCAGTGAGGCACAAGATGAAGATAAGAAAATCCAGTCAAAAGAAATATAAAGTACAAAAAGAGAGAAACGAAGAATGAGAAAATGGTAAGATTAGGTATAGTGTCGTTAAGATGAGGATAATGTATGTATACATCTGCGCCACTGACATCGGTTCTCAGCCATGCCATCACTTACAGTCTCCAACCACTGGTTCCTCTTGTCCCACCGACCCCAACCACCTAGTCTGCATCACCGCACATCGCTCAAACCAACAGTCAAACACTTCATACATTCGTGTCATGTTTTAGTCTGGCCAACTCGGGCCATTTTGCAGTCTGCACCTACTCCAGCCAACATTGTGTGATGAGTCAACCGGCCACTAGGCATACGTAACACGTGTCCCAACCATCTCAGTCGATAAAGGTTCACAACCTCGTCAACTGATTTACCTCTTCTCCCCAAAACTCTACTCCTAACTTGTGCGTTACTCACGTGGTGACACCACGGAATACAGCCTATACTACAAAGGCAACGGTGGTCACACACCTCAAGCCTTCTCATGTCTTCCACTTTCAATGGCCATATTTTACAGCCATAAAGTAGAACAGAGCGGACTGCTGTGCAGGTGCAGTATATGCGAGCCTTAGTAGATAATCGGATCTCACAGCGGCGCTGTAGGTGGCGTACGTTGGTGAAAGCTAGCCAACCGAGCCTTTTGTATCCGTGAGGGGATTCCATCGGCCACTGAGCCACCAGAGCAGGGGTGATCCTACTTCCCAGGTAAGTGAAGTGGTCGACATACAACCACTTCATTCTCTATTGTTAGCCGCGGCACCGCTGAAAACCAACTGATACATCACTGTTGAGGGTGAACAAAAAGTAATTACGTCATCAGTAATAAAGGAAGATACACATTGTGAGGATTAACATTTTGTAGAAAGTGATATCATGATAATAAGATTGTGAAGCTATATTAACTGATACTATTTACAAATACTTATAATACCATATAACTATTAAACTTAGTTTGGTAATAAATACTAGACTCTCATGCACATTTACGAGCAACTTCGTAGTAATCGAACACTACCAAATGATACGATAAACAGCGGGTTGTGAAACTGATCGCATGAACCTTTTTAGCATATGTTTTCTATTGCTGGTATCCAGCATGTTTCCATATAAGCTTCATGCAGCATTCCAGGTCAAAAATATTACAATAAATGGAGAGATTAATTACAATCCAACTTAAAATTAATTATTTCATACACTATTTTGAACGGAATAATGACTAATAACGTCAGTCACGTCACATAATGCCGGCGTGGCAACATTTAACGAGGTAGAAAATGAACAAGGAGAATTAGCTATGTTGGATTGAAAGATAGAACGAAGGACAGACGGTGGTTTGGATCCTACCATCTACAGGAAACCGATACATTCTAACAGGTATCTAGACTTCACATCATCTCATCCAATATCCGTTAAAGCAGATTTGGTCAAATATCTAAATGATAGAGCTAAAAAAGTTACTAGTCCGTGTAAGGACTTAAACAAAGAACTGAAGCATATAAAAGAAGCGTTGATAATTCATAATTATCCCCTACCGTCTATTCAGAAATCCATACAAACACAGGGAGCGAAATGATAACAGTAATACGAATACGAATAATAGCGACAACACGAGTAGAAAAGACTTCGAAGCCTCCATTGTGTTACCAGATATGGAAAGAACATCAGAAACTTTACGTAGAATTCTCAACAAAGCTAGAATTAGAGTGGGATTTAAACCTACCAACTCAATCAGAGATAAACTTTATCGGCTGGCTTAAGGATCCGATAAAACCAATTATGCAAAATAATCTAATCTACCGAATTCCGTGTGATGACTGTTAGGTCAAGTACATAGGTCAAACTAGATGATTGGGGTCAGTTGGAATATCAGAACATAGGAATTTAGCTGAATATAGAATGACGGACTTAAATAAAATCAATAATCTAGAAGGGAACTTGGCTATTGCATTGCATGCATTATCACATAACCACACAATAGAGTGGGTGGGATAAAATCACTGCACTTAAGTCGAGAGAGATTGATTACTGAATCTTTGTTCATCCAATCAAAAACCTAACGAAACATATATGATAGAAATGACGCAACACCTATACCAGGTGGCAGAACGGTAAAAATCAGATATCGAAAGGAGGATGATTACATTGAGGTATGATTATGAGCAGTGATAATTTATGCTCGAAACTTTATCATCAAGTAAATAATACTAGATCATTCACTGTGTATTGTATATCAAATAAACAAATATAGTATGGAATTACATTCTACCACAATGCCCAAGTCTTACACTTAATTTAATCACTCAGCCTAATAGTTTTCCAGTTTTTTCATATAATTACATGACCTATTGGCTTTATCCCATCCGATATAAGTTACCATTGGTTTCGATTAAGATTCGTAATTATTAATCCTGTGTTTTCTCAACGCATGCACTACCTTATTGTTAAACGTGAATATTGAATCTCTAATTATTTTCATACATTCAAAGTATGTTACATCATTATTACTACCGATACTTTATTTTAATTGTAGGCTATTTGCAGCTGATGAAAGGTGGTGAAACAAAATAAGCTCATTTTATCCTACAAATGTTTTTGTTCTTGGATTGTTCACATTTATCAAACCAATTAAACGAAAGTTAACAGTCTACTCACTTCAGTATGTTCAATTTCGTCAAATAACTTCAAAATAACTTTGCCAAACTCTGGAATCTGTATAGACAAATCACGTAGACATTGATGATTATATGAAGCCAAAGAAATGTACCTGAAAAATGCACAAAATAAGGTGCTAATTATTAAAAAAACCCATACCAAAGTCATACAACTAACTGGAGAAAATAAACAATACTATGCAGTTGCCAAGATGGAATGGGCTGAACGATGCGATCCAGCCGTCCAAAAACAGAGTACAATGATAAAAGTACATGAAAACACAGTATGTGATAGTTACTGAGGTAAAGGCAGGGTAACTTAAAAAACCACCCCAGGAACTGATCAGATAACCAATCATGTTTCTTTATTTTGAAAATAACTACCGTCCCAGCCGAAATACCGAAACCAGATTGGTTACTGCATCAGTTACTAGAGTGGTCTTTAACTCGTCAGTGAATCCACTTCATACACGAGGTTGAAAATTCGTCGCAAAGTTGTAATTGTCCGAACCATGTGATTTAGTGTCTCACCTCTACGACTAACTTTAAAGGCCACCCCAGCAACAGCTTAAACAACCAATTAAATTTTTCTATTTTATGAAAATCTGCTTTGCCAGACGGAGTGAAGAGGCCTAATTGGTCATTTCGATTGTTGCTAGGGTGGCCTTTAAAGTTATCCCACCTCTAAAACTGACCTAGTACGCGATAAATCTCATATGGGCTTGCTTCCTATCCTTAATTCATATACACAATGAGTCACTCAATTCAGTCTTCACAACCTCGTGCAGCAGAACGCAAACGTTTGTTTTTATTGTCCGTATACTTTGGATGACTTTAAAGGTCATCATCAGACAACCAACTACTTCACTTTTATGAAAATCTCTCTTTCTGAAAGGAATAGCGAGGTCTGATGAGTCACTTCAGCAGTTGTTAGGGTGAACCCTGGAGTCGGTTGGCTTTAAGGGCCACCATAGCAACTGCCAAGACAACCAATTTTGGCTCTATATTTTATGAAATCTAACCTCATAGACGAAATACCGAAACCGGATTGGTTACGTCAACAGTTGCTAGGATGGCCATTAAAGTAAGTCTTATAGTCGCCCCTACAGTCACTTTATATTTGAATCAGTTTGAATCATCTGCAGTGACCTCAAGAGCCACCCTACCAGCTATTGAAATAACCAATCAGGTTTCGAAATTTCACCCAGGACGGTAGTCTTTTACAAAAATGAAGCAATTGATTATCTCAGCACCTCTTTAGGTCAACTTAAAGTCACTCGTCATTTGAACAGACAACTGAATTTCTTATCAACGACGTCTCATGATTTATAAAAATGAATCAACAGATTTCATGAACAGAAAATGAGATAATACGTAATAATTGGTCTCACTAAACTATAAGTGTCATACAGAAGTTGTAGGTTGGAGGGCGAGTCAATCAAAAGCTTTTTAGCCAAGTCATACAATAATACTAACAAATCAGTAATGTGTAAAATACCGCTTGAAATAAAAAAAAACAGTCCAGCTGATATCTCTATCTGGAGTGACAATAAAGACTATCCTAATAACTACGCTAGCAACCAATAAGAGCTCAGTATTTCACTGGAAAACTACCTCTCTGCTCGAAACAGAGAGACCTAATTGGTTAGTTAAGTCGATGTTAGAATGGTCTCCAACGTTGCTCCTTGTCTGAAATTCACGTTTTCCATTTTTCGGTGGATATAACAGAATGGGTCTGCTTATTTTACAAGTCCATGCCAAGAAATGTCGAACCATTGAAGTTACTAAGTCCTGTCAACTAGCTAGAGAAGAAGCTTAAAACACTAACAAGACACAAACAAAAATATTAGCATCTTTCAGTGACAATCCATGTGGTGAATCCTGAATGACTGACAAAATCAAAGTAGAACCTGTCAAGCAGGGTGCACAGGCTCAATTTGACACAATCCACAGCAGTACGCAAAGAACAAGTGGACAGATAAATGGTGTGAGAGAATAAACAGTCTAAAGATAAAAGTTTTTGCGTACATTCAGGTTTGGGAAGATGTCAAGGATTGAATATATCTGCGTCATTGTAACCAAGTGTCCTCAATCACTGACTCCTTTCGTTTCGGGGACTGCAAACAGGCAGTCCAAATCTCCCCACACGCCTCACAACAACAGTGAGAGACTTTAACGACTTGTGCCAGGTCTTGGTCTGGTCATCTTGGATCCTCTTACAACCTAATCCAACTCCCCCTAAAGTGGGATGTCAAAGTAGGGGTGGTGGCTCGGCATGCGCAGTGCAGTACATGTGTCTAAGCCTTCTCAGTCGACCAAGGTTCACGATCTCACCAATCAACTTGCTTATCTTGCCTAGTACCCTTCGCTCGACTTCAACATTGCTCATAAAGTGATTACACCATACGAAACTCTACAGAGATATTTGTGATCGAAACCCTGTAGTCGCTTCATGTCTTCTACTTTTAACGACCATGTCTCACAGTCGTACAAGACAGAACGAACTACAGAGCAGTATACTTATCCTCTGATAGATAGTCTGATATCTCGTCAGTCAGAGCTAGAGGTGACGCATGTTGAGATTTCATCAGCAACCAACCTTTGCGGCTGATGCAACTCCCCAAGTAAGTGAAGTAGTCGACGCATGCCATCACTTTACTCCCTATCATTGATCTGTGGTTGCTGATAGCAGACCTTAACGTGAGATATTAAGCATCCTCAGTGTAACTTCAAAAGTGGTCGAGAACCCTACATTTTACAACCTCCGGTCCTATAAAGTGAAACAAAGGCATAGCAACGACACAGAACTACAAAGTAGGCGACCTTGGACAACCAATCAAATTTCAGGAATATACAAAAGACAGTATAACGGTATGATAATGAAGATAACAACTAAATTTGATATGTATCGCGTTGAACGAAACCTTTCTGCGTCATATTAAAAATTCATAGGTTCATAAATCGCCACTTCAAACTTATACTGCATAAAATATCAAAATAACATGTAAAACTTACGCCCTATGATCTTTTTGAATGGCAATGTACAGCCAAGCAATTAAAGCAGAACGCAAAGTATCCCTCTCTTCACACTGTTCAGATTGTTCGAGAACACGAACAATTAGGTGAATTGTATACTTGTCATCCAGCATAAAACATGAATCCAGAAATTTTTCCGATTCATTTACTTTGCTTAATGAAGAAATATGTGAACCGAATAAACGGCATTCAATAATCAATAGTAATTGTTCTGGTATAAAGTGTAGTTCTGGTGAGTATTTCGTGAATTGAGGCGGCTAGATAAACAATACTTCGTATGACTAAATATACGTGAAATACTTTACGATTGGTATCCAAACAGTATTTAAATAAATAATCACGATTTGCTTGAGACAGGTATGGATTGTTGCATAAATTCTAAAGTAATAATTTAGAAAGAGTAGGAAATTTAAATACTTCAATAAAAAGCTAGGAAATGAATCTCACTTTGTTGTGCAGAGGGAGTTGTAAACCTCACTCCTTTGGTACGAATAAATACCTGCTTGGGGAAATGCTTGTTCGGCATTTGTTTTATTCCTGACACTGACTGGGAAGATATACAATTTCCTATCATAGGACAAGGATGCTGCACTGTCATTTCTCTCCTGTTATACGGCCGTGAGGCATGGCCGTTAAAACTAAATATGAAGCAGTTACAAGTTTTTGATTATAGGTGTTTTCGTAGCATCGCTAGCGCGCGTATGGTGGAATTATCGCGTCAGTAATGTAGAGGTCAGGCGAAGCGTACTAAGCAAGATAGGAAGTCGACTAATGAGGTTATGAATCTTAGTCGACTGAAAAGGCTTGGATATGTATTGCGCATGATGAGCCACCGCCCACCTCGATTTGCAATGCTAGAGGAAGTTGGATTAGGCTGGAAGGCTAAGGATAGCCAGGCTAAGACGTAGCAACAGTCGATGACGTCCCTAACTGTTGGGTTGATGTAGACTACCTGGTTGGGGTCCCCGAAACGATACGAATCACTGGTTGAGGACTCTTGTTGAAAATTAGTCACAGTGGCGCAGATGCATTCACTCTTTGATATCTTCTGAAGCTTGGATGCTTTGAATTCCCTCTCCCCACTATACAGCTTTGTCTACCTGGATATTAGTGCATCCTATTTACTTGTTTTTTATATACTACTGTGAAGTGTGACAGCTTGAAGCGATAGTTTTGTGCGAGGTTCTATGTCGATTTTGTTTCTGTCTGCCACAGGTAGTATGTCTTAAAATTAATATCAATATTCTTGTAATATGTCTACGACGTTTATGTGTCTGGTTATCTGGTTAGTCAATGCGAACAATCGACTTACTGTGTATCTGGTTTTATAGGCTGGGTGTACACCTGCTTTGAAATCCTTGTGTACCTGGACTTCTCACGTTAAATAAAAGTATAAAGCTTCAAGTAGTCTCGTGAAAACAGTGAGAAAAGACAGCTGTTAAATTTAGATTTGTGTTTGATTATAAATGATGCATTCGACAAAATCATTAGATAATTGTGTGGTATTAGTGGTAAGACAATGAATGTATACGGGATCATTGATAAGCGCATATATGGATTTGTATTTGAACAGCACTTCGAAAACACTGCAAATCATCACTTAAGCCATAACAAAACTAGGCAGAATCCTTTGTTATCAAGATTCTCTGTAGCAAGAACAAAAACAAACATCGCAGATTTTTATGGGTAAGTATTTAATTCCAAACAGTCTAACAGGGTTTCAACTCAACAACTACACTAGAATGACAACCAATACCGAATTTCGTTTCCTGTAGATGAGAGTGAGATTATATTTTAAGCCTACTTTCGCATAAAAATAACTTATATAGTAACGGCATCGACGCCATATAGAAGGTAAGACAAGAGAACCAACTATTGCAAAAACTTTGTGCAGTGTGCTATCAGTTATATCTATCTTATGTAGCCTAATAATAATACTTGAAGAAGAGTTTGAACCAAACACCCAGTAATGAAATCATACCATTCAACTATAACTTTATAAATATTTACGTAAAAGCATTCAACTAACCTCAATAACACAGTCAATTGCATTTTCAAGATGTGTATCAGCTATTGACGATGAATAATGAGGGAAAATAGTGCAGATATTCTGAAGAAAACTTTGAATCGCCAGGTTTTCATCTTCCGTTAGCTTGCACACCACCTGAAAAACACTGTGAAGTTTTCACAGTTCTTACATCTTCCACTTGAGTAGCAAACTGTAAAGCACTTTTTATACACTCGGATGTCCATCTTTTCACAATAAATTGAGTAGTGGCTTGCAAGACATGGAAATATTTGCATAGGAAAACAACAACTAGATCGTTCGTATTGTCCATCACAACCATTCACGTTCCATAGACGCTGATATATAAACCAAAATAAAATAAATTGTTTACACTTGTTTAATCGTCTTTATGAATGTGAACAAAACTACGGATACTGTTTGGTGGTGGCTCACTCCTGGGAACAGATTTTCTATCTCATCATGAGGCATATATAATATATATATATATATATATATATATATATCCTATTACCTAAAAAACAACTGCGCCCTGAATTTCAAATAATGTGCATTATTTCCAACCATATTACGAACGGACTATTAAAAAAAATAAAAGTGAATATACTTAAAAGTTGAGTATTAATCAATAAACAATAAAATACACAAACACAAAGTTGAAACGCAATACGGTGGAAATATCTGACAATTTTAACGGTGAAATAGAGTAGTAATTGAGAGATAACCAAGAAAATACTTGTGTACAAGAGATGACGAAAATCTTAGTAGGAGAGATACAAGGTGATAAATACTCATCTGGGTTGAACAGACCAAAACTGCAGTTGTACTCATAACAGTATGAAATGGGATGTTCAGTAATAGAATTACATGTGGAAAAACTCAAATCTTTTTAAACTCCCAGAAAGGTTGTGACCAACTTCAAGTAGATATTAGGCGAAGAAAACCCATTTTCTTTTTCAGTTATTTTACGAAGCCACCGACTTTTACGCTCCCCATTCGTTATCGTGAAAGAGATACCAGGAGTGAGAGGAATTAAAATTCATGGTTACATTGGTCGGACATCGTAAAAACCCTTCATTGTTCACAAATACAACACCCTCTTTCACATCTAACCGCACTGCTTAAATGAATACAATGCTGATTTGATTTGGGAACTCACACGCAAACTAGTGCAACATCTATACATGACTTTTGCCGAAAGCTCATTTTATTTAACTCTTTTTGGTCTCACTTATCCAGCCGAATAATATTTAATTTTTACGTTTCTGAGCTGACAGATAAAATACATGACTAATCCAAGTTTTGACTGTTCATGTTACAGAAAATATACAAAAGATAGTGGCTGGGATGGTGAGTAACGAAAGCACTTACCATATGGTTTTTGTGAGAACATCCTCATGAGAACGTAGCGGCAAAATTAAGACGATCGCGCGCGCTTTGAAAACAGGAAGTGATTTTTTCCAAGCTTTTGACATTTTGCTTTTGTTGTGTAATCCACATCAAGAGCTTTCATATAACCCTTGACATGAAGTACTTAAGTCAGTGTTTGAAGTTTAATCATTTTTTGAGGCTTAAGGTTGGTCTTTGTGTTGTCACAACTTAAGTCCCCTTGTCGGAATCTTGACCGAGTACTTTAGTTAGTACACGACAAGAGTAAATGGCATGGTCAGCGATAAGCATGCTTGCGGTTGTCCCAGCTGTAAATTTCCAGTGGATGAAGGTATGCAGTGTGATGCATGTGGATGTTGGTTCCACAAATTTTGTACAGGATTGACACCAACCGTGGACGAGTGTTGCAGTAAACCAGCTTCTCCCTGGTTGTGTGATTTCTGCTGCAAGCCATTGCCGACCCTCATCCAGGAAGATGTTGAAAATTCACTTGCCGAGAAACAGCTATGTGGAAATGATAGCTGTCATTCTAATGCGGTATCACATGATGACGCTGAAAGTGTAATCGTTAATATACCTGACACAGGACCTCTCAATGGACTAATGGATTCTGGTGATCCAGTTGGTGAAATTACACCAGTCCCGAAGTGTACTCAACGCAAGAGAAAGCCAAGGGCAAATGGTACACCAACCATAATGCCTGAGGATTCACCGAAAGCCTGCATCTCTGGTAACAGCGTTGACTCTGTAAAAGTGGTCGACAAATCTGCATGGATTTCTCCAAGAAAGCATCCGAAGAGACTGCCAAAGGTTATCACGGAAGATACTAAGCTTATGAAACCTATTGAGAAGGCTTCAAAGGCAGTCAACACACGACTCAAGGATTCCACTCCATCACCCAGTCTAATCTTCTGGAATGTTGAGGAGTCATCAGACAAAGATGCCTCAATACGTCACGGTCATGACCTACATTTAGTCTAGTCGGCCATCAGACGTATTCCACCTAGAAAGTCTAAAGGGGTATACATCTCCAAAGTAGTTAGGTTAGGTAAGAAAATGGACGAAAAGAGGATTTTAAAGGTTGTTTTAGGCAACAAGGAAGAAGAGGATGTCCTCTTGAGTAACGCATCCAAACTACGAAATTTGGATATCCGCATCCTACCTGAATGGCCCCTCGAGACCGCATAAAAAGAAGAGAAGCTGTTGCCGAACCCAAGGCTCGACAGGCTAATGGTGAAAATGATCTTGAAATAGTGGGTTTTCGGGCTGTGAGGTCATGGGTGGGTCATGAAACTCCTCCAACACAATGAGTTATCTACACTAACGTTCGCAGTATTAGAAGTAAAATGACAGACCTCGAGAATCTAATCTGCGAGCTAGGTCCTGACGTAGTAGCCCTTACTGAAACCTAGTTGATCGAGGATCTAGATTTTACGCCACTCAAACTTCAAACTTCATGTCGTAGAATTAGCGAACTGCGATTCCTTGGGTTCTACGTCTGTCTTATTGGAATACGTTCTGAGTCTGGAATGGTCACAATTATCTTCCCGGTTCTGAAAAACCTGAAAGGATAGGACTGATTAATTAATCTGGTCTCAAGTTAGTATTACTGCATCTAATCTGGAGAAAGCTTCTCGAGTATAGCCCATCGGTACCGTGGGACTCGAGGTGTGCGTCTAGCCTCTTTTTAAAGGTATCGGGAGATGGAGCTGTAACAACTACTGAAGAGAGGGAATTCCACAGTTTACAGACTCTAACTGCAAATGAGTTAGTACAGATCCTTGTACATGCTCTCTCGTGCTCTATTCTTAACGGGTGACCCTTCAAATCACGTTTCCGACTGAAGCCTAGAAAGGGTCTGTTGGGGTGAAGGGGATTATGGGCAATGTGGTACATCATGATCATATCTCCTGTGATCCTCCGGTGTTGTACTGGGTGCAGCTGAAGAGCAACTAAGCGGTCTGGGTACGGTTTGTGCCGTAACCTAATCACTTTCTTTGTAGCTCTTCCCTGTACCCGTTCTAGGATGGCAATGTCCTTTTTCAAGTATTGGGACATCGCAAGCGAATTTTTTTCCAAATGAGTACGAATGTACACAGCATATACTGTGGTGAAAAGATCAGGAGTTAGACACCCTAAGGTTCGCGAGAGAAACCCCAAGATTCCATAAGCCCTACTGGCTGCAAGGTGACAGTGAACAGAGGCTCCCAGTGTATCATTTAGTGTAACTCCCAGATCTTGTTCCATGTTAGAGTGACAAATATTTATTTCACCTAGAGAGTAAGAACTGGGACCGCCTTTAGGTTTGTCAACTATCATAATTCGACACTTCTTCGAGTTGAGAGGAAGCAGGTTCTCTGTAGTCCAATTAAGGATTTTCGTAAGGTCCTCCTGGAAAACCGAAATATCCGTTGGTTCCTGTATTTCCCCCCAGATCTTCAGATCATAGGCGTATAATAGTGCATGCGAATTAAGGACCCCTGGTAGGTCATTGATAAAAGCAAGAAACAGTAGTGGGCCCAGTATGGGAACTCGAAGCACACCACTCAGCATCGAGAACCAAACAGATAGAGGGGGGTTAACTCTGACTACACCCTGGTGTACAGATAATCTCTAAGCCAGATTAATAATTTTCCATGTACACCCATGAGCTGGAGTTTCTTACAAAATATCATGATTTACCCTGTCAAAGGCCTTAGAAAGGTCAAGTAAACCAATGTGTACAGGCTTTTTCTTCTGGACAGAGAGTATCCAGCTACTCCAAGCTATCAACAAGTTGGTGTTACATGACATTCGTGGTAGAAAGCCATGCTGACAGTCGTTTGGATTGATTTCTGAAGTGATCACGAAGTGAGTCATTTATGACTCTCTCCACGACCTTCGCAACTTAAAAGATTAGGGAGATTGGTCTGTAATTGGAGGCGAGTAGTTTGTTTCTACCTTTACAAATTAGGACGACAGCTGCCCGTTTCCAGAAACGAGCATTTGAAGAGGTTTGCTAGTGGGGTACATAGAACTTCAGCACACTCCTTGAGTGCTCTTGGGCGCATCCCATCGAATCCTGGAGACTCATTCAGGTTCAGTTTCTTTGATATTTCCATAATTACAGAGGGTTTAAACTCTATATGACTTAATTCCTCTGTAATACGGGTGTCCGAAAGAGGCGGGGTTTTGTCTCCCAAATGACAGTTGTTTTGGAACTCAAGAGCTAGTAGGTTTGCAACTTCGAGGGGTAGTACTGTGTAAGGACGGATGGGGTTGTGGGCCGCAAAGGTGGCGGCATACTACTAAACGTTATGGATGACGTCCACGTACGGTTAGTCACTTCTGAAGCACATGAATGTGGGACCTGTGAAGTGGCCAGTTGCGAGCTGAAGTCAAAGCATGGTTTCTGTACTATCGGGGTCATTTACTGTAGTCCATCCCGCCTTGCAAATGACTTCGTACTAACCCACATACGTAACTGGAGTAGATTTGACACATGCCTAATAGTCGAGGATCTGAATGCTCCACACATAAACTGGACGGAGCCAAAAGTCACACCACCAGGTGGTTCCTTCGAAAATGACTTACTTTTGACGTTCTTAAATCTGCTTTAGTTCAAAACGTAGCATGTGCAACACATTACGATTCTGAACACAAAACATCGTTATTAGATTTAGTTTAAACCCATCAATGTGAAGACATTCTGGATCTACGATGCTTCCCTCCATTAGCTATTAGCTACCATATAGTGCTAACTTTTGGTTTTCGGACTAATGAGTTTGATTTTGACACTGCCTCCCCTAGACCTAAAGTATGGCGTGCGGACATTTCAAGTATAAGGGATTGCGCAGTCAGTAACGATTGGACTGTCGTCAAGGACTCATAAATTGAGAATGCATGGAATAGGTTTAGAACTCTATTTGAAGAGGCAACGACGCCATTCATTCCATGTTCGACTCCACGACGATCCTCACATCACCCTCCGTGGCTTACTAAAGACATTAAAAGACTGTTGAGGCGGAGGAAACGTTTATGGGACTTGTTTCCAGAAACTAGACTGGAAACGTTTAAGACTGGTTATTGTAAATTCCGTAATCTCTGCAAGACTTTGATTACACGGTCTCGAATGTCCCACGAGAAGCGGCTTGTGAGGGATTGCCCAAATTGTTCCAAAAGACTGTTCGCATTCGTCAGAAGGAGGACGAAAAGAAAAGGCTGAATTCCCTCTCTGGGGACGGATGAGAAGTCCGATAGTCTGGCGGAATGTAATCTGGAAAGATGCCATAATCAGCACAGTCTTTAAGACTGGTAGTCGCCATTTGGTGTCTAACTATCGTCCTGTGAGTCTAACTAGCGTAGTTGTTAAGATTTTAGAAAAAATAATTCATGACAGGGTACTTAAACATGTGGAATCAAGCAATCTTCTGGCACCACGGCAACATGGTTTTCGTACTGGGCATTCCTGTCTAACTAACCTCCTTACCACAAGAGAGGAATGGGTTGCGGCCCGTGATTGCAGGCTGCCAATAGATACCGTGTTTATAGACTTCAGTGAAGGCATTCGACAGTGTCACGTGAAATTACTAGGAAAGCTCTTTTGCTTCGGGTTTGGTACTTCACTGCAGGCTTGGATTAAGGGCTTTTTATACGATAGAAGGCAAAGAGTAAGGGTAAATGGGGCACTAACCGGGTGTAAACCTGTGGTGAGTGGAGTTCCTCAAGGACGATCCTGGGTCCACTACTTTTCTTGTTATATATCAACGAATTGCCAAATATGCTCAACTCTTCGGCGCTGTTATTTGCCGATGATGTAAAGGTTTGGAGAGCCATACACAGTGACGCAGATGGGTATGCGCTTCAGGCGGATTTAGATGAACTAGTAGTAGGTCCAAACGTTGGTGCTTGGAAATCAGTTCTCACAAAAGTGCAATAATACACATTGGTCGTAGCAGATGTTTCCAGTATTCCTTCGATGGTATACCACTACCTCCAGTCCTTGA